CATATTAATATATATAGTATATATAATATATATATATTATATATATATATTATATATATATATATATTAATATAAAAAATTACTTTCTTCTTTTCAGGCTAATATAGGCCTTTAAATACCAGCATGTAGTAAACAGATTTTTGAGGTTTAAAAACAACTTAAATTTAATAAGAAAGCAGAAACATGATAAATACTTATATTGGATAACACAATAAGCATTGTTTTCTATATTGTTTAAGCGAATTTAAGATATAGGGACGCACTATCTCACACGGAGTACATCTTCACGTACGGCTAGTGGAATAGATGTGTGTTCTCTAGGGAATCTAATTTCACGAAGTACACTCCATATCCAATCTAAATGGGATAACTCCACATTTAAATAGATCATCTAATGACCGTGTTCTAAGGTCTATGAGAGATATACCGTATAAATGTATTCTATGCGTATTGTGATCTACTTATGTTTGTCTTAATGGAAAGGACATATCAACTGTGAGAAATGCAATCCCTGAACAATTTGGAACGTAAACTCACGGATATGCGAGGAAATAAGTCTACAAAGAAGGGAATGAAAATAAATTATAATAAAATAATAAGCGCTAGGAAAGTTTTAAATTCACACAGAGCGAAAACAAAAACACTTCTATTCCCTTCGACTAGCAGCAGAATTCTCTCAGATTCATCACGGCTGCGGGTGCGAGAAATTATAGATGGGGCGAATATCGCTTAAACATCATCAAGTCACCCTAATGTTCTTCTTAGGGATGATTTACCAATATCATAGATATTTGTTAATTATTGTTATATTTAAATTATTGAATACAAAATTATTAATGAAACATCATCAATACCCAGAATTCTTCATCCTGGTACATGGTATTTTCATGAAACTAATTACGTTTGGTAAACCACTGCACAACGGACATTCGTGGTAGTTGTAGTACATGTTAGTGTTAACATGGTTTGTAAGTAAGGGTGAGATAGAAAAGGAAGCAGGAAGAAAGATCGCGTGTGGTCTGTGCTCCGGAGCAGGGAGCTGCCCGGCATTCGTCTTATACTGAATCGGAGAAACTATGAAAAACCGGCAATCAGAGAGACCAAGCATTTAAATTCCCCAGACAGCGTCTAAATTCTTCCGCGCTATTGTTACGGCGTTGAAATATCTAGTTGTGAGGCAGAGCTGCAAAGGTCAGGCAGACATCTTGCTTTGGCAAGAGTGGATTGCTGAATCGAATGAGTATTAATACTGTTAGTACACATTGTTACTTAGAAGTCGATTTTTCAACATTTATCGATTTTAGGAAGATATCGTGAGTTACCTGTTCTGGAAGCCAGAATTCATTAATATTTAGTTGTAACAATGCTATGTTAATGGCGTCTTCGCTTGAAAGCCGCCCGAATTTTACCATTTGCTCTAATGGAATGATATTACCAAGGTTCAGGCAGCGTCGCGGAGGTCGGGAAGTTGCTGTGACTTTGAGGCGGAAAAATAAAAGTATTGAGCGCGGGGCGTTTGACAGTGTATTTCTTCTTGTTGTTTCTAATCTCATCCCAATTAAAGTTTATAAACTGTTTATATTCGAGGGAGATTAGGGGTCAAACTTTGATTGTTGTGGGTACATAGTGTGTTAGACTATATACAAACAACGTCGAACCCTAGTCACCTCCGTCAGAGTACTGCATGGGCAACGAGTTGTTGTCCTGAACTGTGCTTAACCGGTTTGAAAATTGGGACGCTCAAGTTAATTGCATATGTAAACATTCGCGGCAGAAATGCCTTCCAAGCTCTAACTGCAAGAGTACGTCCTGCGCATATTACGGCGCAAGCAGCCGCCTGAGTAAAGAACAGTAGCACTGACGGCCAACTCATGAATCATTCCTAAACCCGTGATTACGCGGGGGAGGGACCGGAGCTGGAGTGTGGAATGCGCGGATTCGCCGCGCCAACCGAGGCGGAGTCTGCGGAGAGGGGAGGGAAGGAGGGCAGGCAGGGCGAAGGACACGAGTAGAGTAAGCGAAGATGCTATCATTAACCGAGTTGAAAAAGGACACGAGGAGAAAGAAAAATTACGTGATGCGGGGAGTCAGAGAAACACTGCCATAAAAAAGAATGAGAGATTAAGGACAAGTGGTAGAGGGAAGAAAATAGGTGAAGAAGACTTACCAGCGGCAGGGGAATGGTATAACATAGAGAGGTGAAGGAGGAGAGATGTTTCCCTGCTGATTAAGGTGCGAAAGAAAACAATAACAACAAAATGTATGCGGAAAGTGGAGGACAGTCGGCAAAAGTAGAAATAGAAATGTAAGGTAATTTGAGAGCTTTCGGGAAAATATAGAAAACTTTTCAGAGTAAATGGGAACAACAATACTCAAATAGTAAAAAAGTTCAACGTTGTTAAATGAGAGAATTAGTAGAAAGGGAGTTAGACAGCAAATGATAGGGAAACGTTTTTAAAAAATGATAGCAGCCGGGAGTACAAAAGTTATGAGAAAAATTACTGGAGACAGTAGTGTGGAGTCAAGAGTAAGACGACTTGGAGGATGCACGCATAGAAACGAAAAAAATTAAGTAACGGGGGAGGGCTAGCCAGAATGTAAATCAAGGGACGCGGAGCCAGAATGAGTAAGAAAAATGTTGAGGGAAAATAAAGCAGTAACAGACAAGGACAAAGCTTGTGGGATAGTTAGGCGATTCTCGAGAATAAAGAAAAGGCGGCTTAGCTCCGAGATCGGGGCCAGAAGAAACGAAAGGGCGCGCTGTGGAAGTGGGAGGCCGCATCTGGCGCAAGCCGGGGGTTGGGGTGGTGTACCGGGACGTTGGGGGGGGAGGTGCATGCGGC